AGAGCGAGGTTTGCAGTCCTAGAGTCACATTATGCAGCCAGGAAGAATGTCTTCAAAGACCAAGTTTCATCACGTCGCTCTCTCCTTATCAGAACACCTGGTAGCCGAGGTTCTGAACGTAGTTTTAGAACCTCCCGAAGATGGGCCTTTTGAAGTCTTACGAGGCGCCATACTAGAACATACAGGATGCTGTAAAAAAGAACGTATTCGACGCATTCTCGGGGACATGTTTTTGGGCGACCATAAACCATAACAACTTTGGAGGCTTACGTGCAAAGAAATGGGTAACATTCCACACGACGACGTTAGGGAACTGTGTTTACAGAAGTAACCACAGAACTTTCAATTCTTTCTTTCGCCAGCACAAGATATGCCCATAGAGCGTTTGATGGTTATGGCAGATTACGCCATGCAATACCGTCAACCTACGGTCGCCGCAGTTGCACCCATCGTCCCTTCAGCCACATCATCCAATGGCCTATTCTAGACCTTTACTGAGAAGCTAAACGACCTAAGCATAAACAGAAGGTCCAGGGGCCCATGCTTCAGTGGGAGACAGCAATTGAGCAATTGCCGGAGAGCTAAATAACCCAACAAAATTCAAATGTACTGTTCGTGCCACGCATGGTTCAGTAAAGATGCTGCTAAATGCATCCACCCGTGATCGTGGAAGGGTCAACTCATTTCGAGAAAGGACTTAGCCGACGAATGAGTACCACGTCATCCGTTGGCACACGAACTCGGGGTCGCCTTCCCTTAACTCAAGCAATCATCTTGATTGCAGTAAACGGTTCCACTATATGTACATTTGGCACTAAAATTTTAACTGTAGACTTTAACCCACCCAAAGCAGTTTATTGATCATTCTTGTTTGCTGAAGTACGTTTTCCTATTCTTGAAGTGGATTTCCTGGCATATAACGGCATTACTGTTGACACAGGCAGGACAAGACAGGATAGGACACCGAACTTGCGGCAGAGCCAGATTGAGTCCAGTTTCTTGCACCAGGTGAGCTCCAGGTGGGCGACGCGGTGCTTCGACAGTCGTTTGTGTTTCAAGTGTTTCCAAGTTTATACCTGCAAAACGATTACACTGATGAGTAACTGAAAGATATCAGAGATAAATTCAGGGACAATGCGACAGCACTCAGGTAACTCATAAAGGGAAAGACTGCGAGAACAATATGGTTTGCAGCCGATCGCTCGCCTGGGGTATGTATCGTAACTGCGGTTCATCCGTACAGATACCGACCAACAGAGTTGTCCTAATGCAGACTACGTGCCTCGTCTTTTTTAAGGGTATGGTGAGTTGCCGTGATGCACTTTGTCGTCCGTTATATTTTTTCGAAATCTTCAAGTTAAAGTCGGCCTTTACTCCGATTTTATGGCGATCTTGCAATCAGCGCGTCTTCCTACTAACCGCGCTTAGTCAAGGTCAGTTCAGGCAAATGCCTCCTCCACGGCAGCACCAACTCGGTCAAAGGATTAGCAACAGACAATAATTCCCGTCCTAAACAGCGGTGTACATTTTGGGTTGCAACGCTTGTTAGAATGTTGTTCTCAACCAAGTTCTGCAATTTCGCCACAGGCCACCACACCGATTACCCATGTGATCGTCACACGCGGCCCACCCGTTCATTGCGGCGCTCGTCGTTTAGCTCAGGATAAGTTGGCTTAAGCCAAAGAAGACTTCGACGTTATGCTCAAGGCGCGTATAATACGCCACATGGTGCCGCAGAAGGCTGCTGGAGAATGGCGCCCATGCGGGGATTACCGTGGACTCAACAGTTCTGCCATCCCGAATCGCTATCCGATCCCGCACGTCCACGACTTAACACTTAGTTTTAAGGATAAATCGATCTTTAGTAGGATTGATTTGTTTAGAGCTTAAAGCGAGATAACTGTGGACACAACGGATGTGCCTAAGACTGCCGTTGTTACTCTGTTTGGCCTTTTCGAT